GGCATATAAATTTAACAAATAAATAAATAAATAAAATAAATAAATATAAATAAATAAATAAATAAATAAAAATCACAGAGCTAATTTTGGACACAACCTTATTTTCTGTGTTGTCATCTTACTCATCTCTGAAACAATTTCCAGCCAAAAGGAGGAAACTTGGGGACAAGTCCACCATAGGAACTGAACGAAGACAAGCTCCTTAACTTTCTTCCATTGTATCTACCTCAGCTATATATGAACTTTGTATACATTATAAAACCAGGCGTGCCCATCCAAATGTGTTGGTTGTGCTGGTTGGGACATTTGCAAGCCGTAGTTCCCAAGGACACCAAGGGACATTTCTGCAGATGCAAGAACATCCTCCGCATTTTTCCTAAGTTTCAAATCAGTGGGGAAAGAGATCTGCACCCTATTCTGACATGCCTTTAATTTCTAGTCCCAAATTCTGGTGCCATCAGATATGAATAGGATTGGGTGGACCTGGCGGCTCCAAATGTTGATTCCAAATTCCCTGCACGTCCTTAATACAACATAAGAGGGCACTCAAACCCTACACCAAGACACCATAGGGAGCAACTGCTGTTGTGTTGTGTTGTCTTGTTTTCATCTGCTAGAGAGGTGGGGCACACTATTTTTACTTAACTCACATTTTTTGGAGAGAATGCAATGTTCATTCAGTTGCATAGCAACCAACTCTTCTTAAAGTCAGAGGAAGGAAAATGTTACTAAACGGATGAAATTAATTTGATCTGCCATGTGCCACTTAATTCCTATAGTCACCTCTTATTAAATTTTGCTTCTGTAACAAAAGTGACCTGCACCCACCTAATATGCAAAGATGGCCGGAAAGCATTTTCAATTCCTACTTCCCTCAGAACCTAGAAATTCTGATTAATGGCTCTAGATTGTACTTCCTTCCTACAGGAACCAAGAAAATCACTGTTTTCTTATATCTATCTAATGTAAGTCGGGGTGGTGACCACGCCTGTTTTCATCCATTGCAAATTGACTCTTGAATGACTCTTTGACGTTCAGTTCTTGGAAACATAAGTAAAAAATATGTTCATTAGAAATCAGTACTAAACAGAGTAGAAACTCAGCTGGGGCCGATCTCTAGAAAAGGGCACTGAAATATTTCAGTGTTATTTATAAACCTCAGATCCATATACCCCCCATCCCCACCCTCCAAGAATCTAAAATCATAGCCAATGCAACAAATGTTCATTCTTCTGCCAGAAATCAGGAACAGGATCAAGTACCAACAAGCTGCAAGGGAGCAGCACAGCGGTGACCTAGAGCCCTTAGATCAGTTATTGTATCTCACGTTACTACGAGAAGGATTATGTAGAGGAAAACATTCATGCCCTAAGATATTTGAAGGAATAGCTGGATGAAAATACAGAGAAATAAATACTTTATTTAGATTTAGTTTGAAATTCTAAGTATCATGGTCCTCTTAATTGAGAAAACGGAGTTTTGTGGCACTTTAAAGATTAACAAATGGCTGTAAACCCTCCTTCGAAGGAGCTTGACTCCTGGTGACCATGCTGTACAGCAGAGTAACATCTTCAGGATCGATTTAAAACATCTCTTCCACTCTCCAAACCTTCTTTTCCACTTATTTTATTACCTGGATTGGTGGAAGAATGCCCTGGCAAGGTTTCCTGTGGTTTTGGTAACTTTCACTCTAGCATTAATTCCCAACTTGTCCATGCAAGTTCACTTCCAGGATATTACAAAGGAGATATGAAACCCACTAATATACTTCTTGCATGCTTCCATCTAGAACACATTGCAAAATCCATTGTTTACTGCTAAGTCTTACAGTGCAGTTATAACTGCTCAGACTTAGAAACAAACAGCTAAGAGATTTAAATCAGATCTTTCTCAAACTACAATACCCACCTAAACAAAGTGGGAGGAAAAATATCAGATAAAGGAGGCCAGGCTGATACCTAAGAATAGTCCACTTTTGAACAGAACCAGAAGAGCACTGCTTGTTATCTGTTACAATTCCTCTAAGGCAGCGTTTCTCAACCTTGGCAACTTTAAGATGTCTGGACTTCAATTCCCATGCTGGCTGGGGAATTCTGGGAGTTGAAGTCCAGACATCTTAAAGTTGCCAAGGTGAGAAACACTGCTGTAAGGAGTCAGTGATCTACAGCTCATTTTGAATAATGACAGTTTGCTCTCATGGGCCTTAATGATAGGCCTTGGTTTGCTTACAAAGAGCCAATCAGCCTAAAAGGTTAATCACTGTGTCTTAATGATGCAAAGACAGGAGCCAAACTCCACAGCAGACCCAGATACCTTCTGTCCCCATATTTGTTTTGACAACACTACTGTATTGCAAGTCCTAATAACGTCACCCACACTGTCAAGGGCTCGTTTTCCAAAGCCATCTTTCATCAGAAATGCCCCATTGCCTTCCACAAAGGTCAGGCGAGTCAGTCAATGCAGGAAATAATAAATGGGCACAAATCTAATATCAGAATTAACAATGTCAAAAAAACCAGTGGAGAAATGAGAAACCACTTCAGCCTCCCCCTCCCTTCCCCAGGTTGCTCAGCCCTGATCTCATGGTGGTCATCCACTATTATCACTGACTCCGCAGTGCTCATCCACCATTTTTTAAACAGGGGGATTTGGCAACATCTTTATGGACCCAACAGAAACTAAGGTTTTGATCAGACAACATGTATTGATCACTTCCCTAATGCCAAACTTTCTGTCTCACACCCAACAACCGTTTTGTGCACAGCACTAAAGGTAAGGTGTATTTCCAGTCAAACTCAGCTCCTGCAATGGACATAACATTGCAGTTTTTGTGGCAACCATAAGTGGTATTTTTTTTCAACTTCTCAGTCTAGTCTACTCTAACCAGATTCAATCCTGCTTCATTTTTTGAGATCAGTCGAGGCCACCCGGGTACTTCCATGACTTACAGCTTATTATGACTGTCTTCACTTCTTACATTTCATCCATCTCTGATCTCTCCTTTAATTACCTCCCTTCCTCCTCTCTATATACCCAGAAACACACACACACATATATTGTAATAAATGTCTTAGTCTTAAGGTACTGGAAGATTCTGTTGTTTTCCTGCAACAAAGAAGTTTAAGGCAGCCTACTTCAATCTGGATGTGGATTCTGGAAGCTTATTCTCAACATACTTTGAATGCAGGGGGCTGCAGAAGATTGGTATAAAGTTTTGTGATCTCTTTAAAATGACTCCCTTGAAAGCAGTCCTCATGACCCATTAGAACTACATTTTCTACAACTGTCACTAGATGAACCTTCAAGAAACTGAAGACGCTCTGGGTTCTGTCACCATAGCTATAGCTGAGAAGATCTCACTTTCCTCTCCCAGGATCTGGCAGTCCTTTGCAGCTGTCCTGCCCAGCTGTGAAAACATCTGGATGATAAATGACTCTGGCAACTCCCCCCTACACTCACTTGTAAACCAAGGATCCCATAGGTCAGGATCAATCAGGAAACTTTGGAGTCAGGGTGTTAATTAGGCAATTAGGAGGATTCAAGGGGTGGGCACAGAAAGGGATTCAGCCACCACTCTTAATGAAGTCTGAGATGGAGTTGGGAAGCTGGGCATAAGTGGGAGAAGACTTAGATTTGGCTGGTCAGCTCTAGTTCTGAATGAGGATTAGGCAGAGATTGGGGAGGGCAGCCAAGACTAGGAACAACTTTTCATAGGAGGGCACATTGCTGAAAGAACAGGCTAGGCAGAAGGAGAAGACAGGCCTTGGGAAGTAGAGAGGTCCTGACAGAAATAGCTGGAAGGTGTGTAAGGATGGGACATCCTAAGACTGAGACTACATGTCCCTACTACTTCTTTCCTGCAGCTCCCCTGCCATCAGCCCCAAACCCCTCCCCTCTCGAGGTGTGAATGTGCCATTTGGGGTCTCACTTCAAAGAGCCTTGGCGGAATCATAAATACAAGCCCCAGCCAGGGGCGCTTCAGGGAGAGAAAGGATTTGGAGGTGGACACATCCCAGACTTGCTTCAAGAGACCAAGCCAAGGAGACCTGGCTCCCAGCCCCTCAAACAGCTCTTATCCTACAGTCTCCCCTCCCTCCCTCCCCTCCTTGCTTCTCTCCCCAAATCCCCTCCAACTTTGCTCCCCAAACCAACCTTCCAGCCTCTAGACCTTCTCCTCTACCCCACCCCCCAAGGCAGAAGCCCTGGCTTCCAGCCTCACCTGCTCCCATCCACAAGATCCCCACTCCCTTCCCAGAGAAGCCAGTCCTGGCCTCCAGGCTTCTGTCCACACTTCATGTACCACCCACCAGAGATGTTCCCCCAGTATGGGGGCTCCTATCCTCTGCGACCACCACCCCCGCCTGGAGCTGCCTATCCCCAGAGTCAGGCACCCCAGTATGAAGCCTTCAGATACCCAGGTGAGAAATTGGGATATGATGTGGCATAGTGGTGGGAGGAGAAAAGAGAAAAAATTGGGCCATGGTAAAGGCATGGATGGAAGGGAGCCAAAAATGCTGGTTATTTTCATTGAGGACTGGGCTGAAGAACATCTTCATTTAGCCATTAAGCCCAATGGTGGCCTGATCCAGAACCAGGCACCATTATTCAGCCTATCTGCCTCACAAGGTTGTTGTGTGAAAGGAAGTGGGATGGAAGAAAAACCACGTGTGCCTCTTGTGATGGATACGGTGGATCTGTGACAAATGTTTAAGGAAGAAGATGGGAATTAAGAATCCTAAACAGAAGAATCAGAGAAGGTTAAGAAGCAGAAATCTGGCATGAAGCATCTTTTTTCTCATATAAGAAACTGAAATAAAAATAGTAATGTCTTTGGGGTTCTTCAGGAGAAGAGATGGTACCCGGGGTGCTTAAGATAAGAGGGTTAGCAGGCTGATTCCAGGATGCAAATACAATGAAGTGGAATAGGACTGAAAACCAAAATTGGCGAGCTGGAAAAAGACAATGAGAATTAGAAGGTTAGGCTATTATATATATGTGGGAAAAGTGGGACCTACATTTAAAAAAAAAAAAAAAGCAAGGCAAGTCCACTGGGGACCCACCAAAATTAGGATGGCTCCCCAGAGGAAAGGGTAGCAGCTTGTGATTTAGGCAGGCCAGTGGGAGGTCGGGGCTGGGAGAGCAGAAGGGGAGCTGAGAGATACAGAATTCACATAAATTGTTGTGACCCACCACCCCCATCAGCTGGATATTTAGCACCCAAGACCAACTGGTCAGGGAAGAGGTGGAGAGGGGGGAAGAGAAGAAAACAGGCGGAAACCAGCAGGAGGGTGACAAATTCCTTGATGATGCCCCTCAGTGATGCCTGCAACCCCCTCCTTCCCCTTACTCCACGCAGCTCAGCCGATGCCCCTCAGCTCTATTAACCCTCCTCTCAGATCTCTTTTCTCCTCTTCCCTGCCATCAGAGCTGGAAGCTGCCCCCAAATTGGATGGTTTCTTCCCAGGCCTGGAACCCCCTGGGCGCCTCCTGCCCCCCACTCCTGGCCTCCCTTATGGAACATCTCAGGCACTCCCATCAGGCCCCCCAACAACTGCTCGGCTACCCCCTGGAGTACGGATGAGCTTGGAGAACAGCGAGCTCTGGAAACGGTTCAGTGGCATTGGCACCGAGATGATCATCACCAAAGCAGGCAGGTGAGATCCTGGACCATCCTCTCCCTCCCGGCAGTGGCCGCGATCAGCTCGGAACGTGGAAATCAGTGCTTCAGATGACTTTTTTGCTGTCCTAAAATTAAAACATCTCCCCAATAGATTGATACTGTAATCTTATCCTTCCCTACTCTGAAGGAAGCCCTATGACGGTCAAGGGGGCCTTGCATAGGACTATGACTGCATCCTAAACTATTCTTAGCACAGTAGCTTTGCACATGCTCAATGGTATTTTTTTTTTCTTCTCACTAGAGTTGGCAGGGAGGAGGGCCATAATGCCAAAAAAAAGAAAAAAAATCAAATGAGAGCATATTTAAAGCAGGAGAATGAAAAAAAAACTTAATATAATTCACAACTAGTTAAGGGATCCATGGCCATAGCATATGTTGTTGAACAATAGTTTAAAGTGCTTGCAAACAGGATTTGACAGACTCACAGAGGATAAGCAGTCTGACACTACCTGCCCTAACAGTTGCTGAACAGAGGGATAGACTTAGAGGCCTGAATTGTCCTTTCCAACTCCCCATTTCTATTATCTTAAATGACGCCTCCATGTTCAAAGGCAGTATATCTGTATCATGCTCGCTTTGTAAATTTCCATTTAGATCACCCATGGAAAATAATTTGCTTGATTAGATTGTTAATCTAATCTAGTAAGGCTCTTAATACATTAAGAGAGATAAATCTGTCTCTGTTCCTATTTAATCTTTCCTGAGTTAGTATAGTAAAAACAATATTTGGAGGAACAGAAGAGATGCACCCTCCATGAAGAGTTAATTGAAACAAGCACAGTGAAAATCCTCTTCCACTTCTGTCTTTAATTCCTAATGTCAAAATGTTTCTCAGCCTTGGGTCTCCAGTTGTGGGACCATTTTAAATCATTGCAGGGCAGGGATGATCGGATCTGGAGTCAAACAACATTTAGGAATTTATAGTAATTGTATGAAACCTATATAGATAAGTGAAATGAGAAAAGAACTAGAAAGATATCATCCCAGAAAACTGGAAAGGAATATCTACTGCCCTAGGAATTGAATGAGAGTGTTTTACATACTTTCAACTTTCAAAGGACACGCATCATGCACAGGATCCTAACTTTCTTCCATTACTTCAAGCAAGCGAGAGTTGACATTTCGAGGGCCAAATGAAGGAAAGTCAGTTTGTTCTTTCTTTTCCTTTTTTGATAAGTGGAGCCAAGTGATATGACTTGGACATTGTTCACTCATCCTGTGCTATTAGCTTTCTGAAACTGATAGCATCAGCTATACCAGGGTGGCAGTGTGATTCGAATTAGTTGCAACCAAGCTTGGGTTGAGAATAATCATGTTTTCTTCTGTGTCGCAGGCCATTCCTCCACAATTTGAATTTTCTGATCCATGTTTTAATCACCTTCCAGGCGGATGTTTCCACAGCTAAAAGTTTCAGTAACAGGACTGGATCCTGAAGCGAAGTACCTACTGCTGGTGGACGTCGTACCCGTAGGAGGCTCCCGCTACAAGTGGCATGGCAAACAGTGGGAAGCCAGTGGCAAGGCAGAATTACCACCCCCAGACCGGGTTTACATCCATCCTGACTCACCTGCATCAGGTGCCCACTGGATGCGCCAACCTGTATCCTTCCATCGGCTCAAGCTTACCAACAATACTCTGGATCCTCACGGACATGTATGGTTGGGACCTGGGACCGGGGAAAAGACAGATGGGGAAGAGTGGGATATATAGCCAGGGGCCATAACTGTCACACTTGGAGCCCAGAGTAAAATTATTTATAGAAGGGATGATGTTGGGAGATATACGGGAGGATCTTTTAGGCTGCTAGCTATGAGGGGTTATAGAAAGAAAACAGCCAAGCTCCAGGATTTTGTGAATCCTGTGCCAGAAACAAAGCAAAACCTTTCCCAAGGGAACATCGCATTCTGAAATTCAAAGGAAAAAAATGTACAGCAGCCATACATTATTTAAACTTAGCCCACCGACACGGGTTGGATCATTATAAAAAAATATTCACTTCATTCAGGAGGAAGCAAGAAACAACATAGCTCACTGAGATCCCTCTACTGAAATGACTGGGGGTTATTTTTTGCAGGCTGTCATGACTAGATTCTTAATCTTCTTTTTAAATGCAGAATGAAGTCATTTTTCAGGATAATGAATCATGCGATTAGGATCACGATTTGTGCTTTGCCCTGAATGACAGCATGTATATACACTTTGGTTTTGCATAGAACTAAATGTTTGGAAAATGGAGGAAAATAAGATGGACAGGTAAAATATTACCCACTTTTGGTTCTTCTCTTTTTCTTAGCTGATCGTTCACTCCATGCATCGTTACCAGCCCCGAGTACACGTGGTGGGAGCTGGAGGGCGCCGCGGAGCAGGGGGTGGCTGTGCTTCGTTCACCTTTCCTGAGACCCAGTTTCTGACAGTCACGGCCTACCAGAACCCACAGGTGAGAGCAAGAGCAGGGTTTCAAAAAAGAGGGTTTTTTTACAGACTCATTCTCATCTGTAGAGTCCAGAGCATGCCCAGACAATTGCTTGTCCCTCATTGTCTCCTTCCATCATTACTAGAAGGACATCTCTCACTTGCAAATCATGAACTGGACATTAAAAGAATTCTAAGGGTTAGAGGAATTATGAGGACTGCAATCTGCTACAGAAAGGTTTTAACAGAAAGATAAATCCCCAAGAGGTGCTGAAAATTGGTTGCTAGAGCTAACTCAGGGGGGGGGGACAGGGAGAGGCCCAGAAGTAACCACTCTCATCTTAATGTGCAAACCCACTTCAGAAACTTAATTCACCCAAAGAGAAACACAGAAAATGTCTCTGTAACATGACTGTTTACCTCAGCATCAACCATTAACATGAGGTTGGAAAGCGAAGTGCTCAAAAGGAAGAGTTCAGATAAACCATCCCTGTATTTTAAAGAGAACAGCATTTGTTTTATTTCCACCTGAAGAATTCCCTTCCTTTGTGACCTAGTTGGCTGCTGCTACCTAGAACCAGAACAGATGTTGTTAAAAGGGTGGGAAGATGATCAAGACCTTAGTTAGAAGACTGGAGAAAGATACTACAGCTACATCTATACCTCTGCCTAGGAAATCACCTCCCCAGACCACTGATTGGTACCTAAATTATTGTGGACAAAGGCCAATGTCAGCATTATAGTTTGTACAGGCTGGTACTCTAAATAAGCGTTATTCTTTCTTGTCCCTCTCATGTTCATCTTAGCTAGAATACCTCCCAAATCATATTTTTGTCACCTTCTCCTTCATTATGCCATAACTGGCCTCCAGGCATACATACTTATATGAATTGTGCACACAGAAACAAAACCTAAAATCCCACTACCCAAATAGACTGTATGTAATTTCAATACAGACAGTCCTCTACTTATGAACTTTCAAGTTACGAACTTTCACTGATACAAACAAACCTCCAACAACTCCAACAATGAAGGTCCCCGAAGGAAGGTCCCAGACGTTTATGGTGCACATGTGTACGTACACCTGAAAGTGTGTGGTGCACTGTATATGTACACCTGGAAGTTTACAGCATGCATGCATACGTATGTGGCGCGCTGTAAACTTCCAGGCATATGTATGTGGTGGGCCATGGTTGGACTTACAAACAAAATGGACTTACAAACAGCCTCTTGGAACGTAACCTGTTCATAAGGAGAGGACTGTCTGTATAAATTTACACTTATTTCAGAAATAATCCAGAACTGGGGAAAAAGAGCAGAATATAGAAGGCCAGGGATTTATTACTATAAATATGTATAATAAATTATATCCCTTTGTTTCTAAAGTATATATTTGCTATTTATCTTACTCCTCCCCACCCTTCAGATCACTCAGATGAAGATAGAAAGCAATCCTTTTGCAAAAGGCTTCCGAGAAAATGGTATGAACAGCAAAAGGTGAGCAGGAAGGACAAAGGAAGGAATCAAAACCACAACATTGGTATAGCTCTCCTGATGTTTCCTACTGCAAAGGCTGTCCATCTAGATGGCTGAGGCTGAAGGCATTGTAATCCCTCCATGGATGGCTACATAGGTTCTTGCCTCCACATTATCTGGCATCAGAGATTTCATTCCAGCAAGCTGGCTATCTAGCAGAATTGCCAGAAACAAAATGCTGAGTCCAGAAAGCAGGTGGGGTGGACCCCGCTAGGCCAACAGTCTGCAGTTGCATGATACTGAAAGCTGTTTGAGCCTTTACTGCTGTTTTATCAGATCTTATTATGGTCCATTACAAAATATAGGGAGCGTGAGGCCCGAATCAAAAGGAAGATGAAGACCAATGAATGCGAAGCAAACCTGGGTGAAAGTGGTGAGGACAGCAGAGCTATCTTATTCTGTCTATAACCCCCTAAATCCCTTCTTCTAGTTTCAGTCTCTCCTTCCGTGGAGGGGTGTCTGCAGAGGATGGTCCAAAAAATCAAGATGGCAGTTGTGGTGGTGCAATGACACCTCCACCTGTTCTTTGTATGCATTGCATGTAATTCTTATGAGATTCCTCGTCCAGTAGGAAGGCTGACCTGCTGAACTTCTATGATCAGTCGACATTAAATGAGATAATCCCAGTGGCATCCTTAGGATCTCACTACATTTGTCAGAATGATGACCTTTACCCCTTTGGGCATATGCGCATTGTTGCAATGAATGTAGAAAATGGGTGGAGTTTGCATGGTGTCGCCATGGTGCGGCTTTCATCACTCTGATCCCCCTCACCCCCCACTTGCAGATGCCCCTGGATCACTCATAAGCATGATTCTTGATAGCTGACTACATGCCTACATCACCATCTCTTTCCTAAGTATTCATCACTCATCTTACATGCACATTCATTAATTCCTTCTTGCTTGCTTTCCTGGTTACCCCTCCATAATCTCATAATTCTTCCCAAAGCCACTCTCTCCATTTTTTTCTCTTTCGTGTGCAATTATCCCCTCCTTTCTCCTTGATTGCACTCCTATTAATTTCAAATGGAATAAGCTTCCTAGAAGACCCTTCTTTATGAACCTCACAGACTAGCTTTGCTGGTCTGTTTACAGGGCTTATAGCTAACTCTAATCAGAACCAACTCTGAGGATCAGTTAATGGAATCTCCTCACTGGATTTCAAACAATATGCTGGACAAATTGTTATTTGGATTTTTTCTTAATTATGTGTACAGTCCCAGGGAGTCATTCCCCCTCCCTGTGTCATCTGTTTCATAAAGAGCCCTACTTCTCTGACAAATATGCTCCCCTCATGCATTTGTTCTATCCCTACTGATAACTTTGTCTTCTCTGCACATCCCTTCATGTAGAGAGCAAGAAAGGCCCCTGCGACTCCACCCTGACAGAAGAGGTGCCTCTGGAACAACAGCCCCCCCCTGCACTTCCACAGCCATCCTGTTCCTTCTACCCTCCCACAGTAACAAATCTCAATGGGGCTGAGGCTTATGTACAACACCCAGCTGCCTTTCATGGTTTGCGGGGGCCATCATCACCTTACGGCAGGTAAGCAGGATATTTATTTATTTATTTGGTTGGTTGGTTTTGAGGCTGCCCAACTCCAAAAAGTTGCCAGGTGTCTTGCAATGTTTAAAATAACACATAATTAAAAGAAAAGGAACATGACCATCCAGGCAAAATCACATGGATAACATCAAAAAAATGCAAGGGAGTCAACAAACACTCTAATTCTAAGCCTGGGAACAGAGCCAGGTCTTTTGAGAGAGATAAAAATGTATTAAAAGTTTTAAAAAGAACTTTGGTATATGTTGCTTCTCTGGTGACATATACCAGCGGTACATCATTTAATAAAAATTATCTTTAAGACTAGAACGTCATGTAAATTTCAATCCTTTCAACCACATATTTTCCCATTGTTCCATTAGTATATTGTGACCAAAACTTTTAGCCAACCACATATTTTCCCATTGTTCCATTAGTATATTGTGACCAAAACTTTTAGCCAACCACATATTTTCCCATTGTTCCATTAGTATATTGTGACCAAAACTTTTAGCCAACCACATATTTTCCCATTGTTCCATTAGTATATTGTGACCAAAACTTTTAGCCCATTTTATCATACATTCTTTCACTTGTTCTTCTTCTGCCTGGAATTTCAACAAAAGTTTATACATTTTAGCAATCACATGTTCATTACTTGTACATAATTCTGTTTCAAATTCAGTCTTATATTGTTCAAAACCATAAAATCTTTTAACTACTTGAAACCTTTCTGATAATTGTACATAAGAAAACCACTGGCAAGTAAATGCTTTTGTTATCAGATCTTCTCTTGATTTTATTTTACATTCCCCTTGAAAAATTTTGAACATATCACGATAAGTTAACCATTTATGCTTATGTATCATTTCTCATCTATAAAATGCTTCTTGTGCTGAGAGCCTCAAAGGTGTTTTCAGGCACAACCTAAATTTGTATTTATTCCATATTCTCAGAATGGCACATCTAACATAATGATTTTTAAAATCTACATTAACCTTAGCTTTGTCGTAGCACAAATATCCATGCCACCCAAATCTCAGATCATGTTCTTCTAACTCCAATAGCCTTCTATTTCTCAGCAACACCCACTCTTTCATCCAAACTAAACAACAAGGAGCAAAGTATAATTTCAAATCAGGTAAACCCAATCCTCCTCTTTCCTTTGCATCTTGTAGTACCTTATATTTAACTTGTGTTTTTTTCCCCTGCCATACAAATTTAGATATATCCTTCTGCCATTGTTTAAATGGTACAT